CCACCGGCCCCCCTTTTGGACTACACAAACTCTGGTGCAGGATTGCATGCAGTCATGTATTGTCGACTTTATTTACCCACAAAAAACATGTACCGTTGATTTTTAAGTCAAAACATGTTTGGTTTCATACATATACCTTATTTTTTAAATAAAAAGGCAACCCTTTTTAATACGATGCCCACCAGGTGTTGATTCATTTAAAAAAACAAAAGTATTGTTGATTTTTCATACATGTTTGACTTTTAAGCCAGAATATTAATAATCCCATTAATATTTCTTATTCTTGCAAATTACAAGGCTGACCGTGTCTCAGGTGTTGTACATGAACAAACTTTTTTTTTTTTTGACATAAAAGGTTTGGATCAGGTGCCATGGATCATTACATTGGATCCTATGCTTTTTCTCAGCTTCATTTTCTATAAAAAATAGTTCTGAGTGCCACTGCAATTTCAAATTTTTATTCTGTCCGTATCCATTCAAATTCCAAAGTAGACTAAAGCAATTTTTGTCTTTGACTAAGCATATTCTCACATTTAAAAAAAAAAAAATGAAATCAGGCTAGTTATAAAAATAGTTTTGTTTAGGATTTATATTATATTGTGAGATTTACACAAGATAATTTAAATCCCACCTGTATCATATATATTACATATATAGTTATAATTACACATCTTGATATTTATATTCATTTTTATTTTTCTGCTTCTTTAAACTATCCAATATGTTTCTAGCTAGTAAATGCAATCCCACTAATTCTAGTAACGAAAATTATGAAATTGATTAGTTCCTATAAATAAATGAAGAAAAATGAGGCGGCCACCTGAAGATTTGATCATGAGTGTCGCCTCAACAAAGGAGGCATGTAATATAGAATAATATTGGAGTGGCCACTCAAAACTTTTCCTTCACTTTCTTACCTTTTGGCTTGGTGCCATGTTCTCTAAATTGACATTTGGTATTTTTATTTCCAAAGTGGGATTTGAAATCTTTTCAGGTCATCCTTTCTCTTTTTTCTATTCTTTTTTTTTTTCTTTCTTTCTTTCATTGAGGAGAGCCATGAAATTGGAAGAAAAATATATTCTACAAAACCAACAAAGGCCAAATTAATATGGATATTCCTTTGATTTCTTTTCTTTTTGGTCCCTCCCCTTTGTTTCATTTATGCACATGCAAGTGAAAGGAGGTTTGAATGATTAGTTCAGGTGACCAAAGATGGTGGCTACAGCCTACTATTATAATGACACAAGATGTTATGAGCCCACTCTTTAATAAGAACCCTATGAGAGAAATCATATTCCACATGTTCAATTCCATGGTAAGATAATGTTGTGGCAACATATCAAACGTTGATCGTGCGGGTGTTAATTGTTAATCATGAGTCATGACTCTATATATTTTCAGGTTCTTCTTGACCTAAATTAACCACATAATGTGTCCTAAATATTATTCCTTAAACACTAACTTATAATTAAAAGCATTTTCACTGTCCATAGGAGAAGGCATTTCAGGTGATAATGATATTAGAAGGTATTTGATAAAATTTTAAAAATAATATTTATTTTTTATAAATATAAATTTTTACCGGAGAGAAACAACAAAATTAATTTTTAAGTAGATTTTAAGTAAGTTTTGAAAAAGCTTGAATGTTAAGGTTTTCCAAATTTTACTTTAAATTCAATTTAAAAGATAATTTTTAAATTTTTTCTAACAAAATTTTAAACTTATAAAAGATAAATAATAGCTTTTAAGATTTGTCAAACACCTTTCCATGTCAATTGTATAAAATAAATCAATAATATAATTTAACATATTATTAAAATATTAATCAACGTATTTATTTATACAGATCTAAATAAATAAAAGGGAAACCGTCCTTTTTCTTTTTTTTTTTAACGTATGAAAATTTCATTAACCCATTCCTACGGTAGGTGTATAATAATTGTGTTGGAGACTTTTTCGTCTAGTCGGTCCTTTGCCCCAGTCTCTTTACATCATGAGATAGATTAATAGTCTATTGAGTAGTTTGAAAAGTATAAATCTAACGTTCAAGAAAAAAAATAAAAGGATTTATATATGTTTATTTATTATTTATAAATAATTATGGAAAGTTAGAACTAAAAGCTTGTAAGATTTGGGCTTTAACCTACCCAAAAAAAAATTATTTTTTAATTAATTTCGAATTATTTATTTATTTTAATTAATTTTTGAAATTATAAAGACATATTTGAGGTTTTAGACACAATTTTTGACAATAAAAAACACCTTTCTATAATGGTGTTTTATTGTAGAAACACATTAATTTAGCAGGTGTCTTTTTATAGAAACATACTCTTCAGTTGATTTGAACAATATAAATTCCTTTAATAGAGTTTATATTTTACACCTAATTCTAAGAAAATTTATGAATTTTGTTGTATCATGAAGAATTTTTGAATCTTAAAAAAAAAATGAGATCATGCTAGGAAACTTTGTTATTTTACTATTTTCTTTATCTTTTCTTAACATATTCTAGGCCTAGGAGGGATCGGGTTTGGATATACTAACTCCATAAAGTTGAAAATGAAAAGAAATACTAGCATATAGAGTGGTTTTTATTTTTAGATTTAATTTTAAGTTTGATGAATAGGGACATGACGTAAAATAAACATTTTCTTCTTTTTGGTGAAAATGAGAAATATATTAATGCAGTATAAAAGGAAGCACACAGCTATCCTATGGGGAAACAAGAGGATAAACATTTACCAATAGGTAAAAGCATAGTGAACTCAAGCAAAAAAGCAAAGAGAAAGCCCAAGTCAAACTAACAAACAAGGGGGGGAGAAAACATCATCCTTTCAACTTTGTCTTTAAGGTTGAGAACTAGAGATTGTTTTGCACATGAACTCATTTAATATTGATTTGATAAGAGATGATACTGTCTTGCATTATACAAAGATTAATTTGTGTAGGTTTGTTCATTGAATGTTCAAAAATAGATTAAAAAGATTGTAATTGATTTCTCTTTAGACAATTTAGTTATTTTTTTTTTTTCACTTTTCACAACTTCTAATTTTAACAACTCTTTTGAAAAAGTAAAAAGTAAAAACTTTATTGATACATTTAAATTCTAAAATTAACTGCTTAATATTAACAATGATTTGAACTAAAAACCAAAGTGAAAAAAATACCATCTTTCTAGGGAGAAAGAAACACCATCTTTCAACTTTGTCTTTGAAGGTTGAGAACTAACAACCAAGGTGAAAGAAACACCATCTTTCAACTTTGTCCTTGAAAGTTATGATCTTGAACTTGAGATTGTTTTGCACATGAACCACTTAACATTGATTTGATAAGAGATGATATTGTCTGCATCAGACAAAGATTATTGTCTAAGTTTGTTCATTGAATCTAAAAAAGTCGATTGACAAGAATGCAATTGATTTCTCTTCATACAATTTGGTTGTCTTTTTCTTCACTTTTTTGAATTTCTGACCTTGACAGCTCCCCTGCCACTAGAAATAGAAAAAAAAAAAATTTGGTTCATTAGAGGCTAATTGCTATTGTACCAAAAGTTTAAATTCTTGACTTTAAATTCAAACAAGATTCTTTTAATTAATAGACATTAATTCAACTCTTGTGTTAAATAATGTTAACTTGTAACTAAGGTTCCAGATACTAAACTGGTGGAACCCTAGAGCGGCAGCGCACCTTTCCTTTTCTAAAAACAGACTCAACTAAATTCTTGTCGGTGAAAAGTAAAACTATTCATCCTAATCACAAAAGGTTTCATTCAGCTTCATGTCATGTTTAGAAATTGGGATTTTGAACACCAGTTCTGGGAGGATGTGAGCAGAAAAATGGGTTGAATGAGTTGCATATTGCAGCCCATTATGCAAGAGTGGGCTCGACAAAATACTAGTACACAAAATGGCCCAATCCTAGTCTACAAGATGGCCTGCACAGACTGCACCATAGGGCAGTTAGAGCCACAATCCAGAAACAAAGGAATGTCAAAAACATCAATGAAGCCACAAAAGTTGCCTTCATATACATTCATTTTAATTACATGGTTCAGCTAATATCGGGTACGGACACAACGCAAAGATCCAGTAAACTGTTCTTGACAAAAAAAAATAAAACATGGTACTTGATCTAGTTCACCTTGCTAAGGGTGCTTTTACTTTTCCACATTTTACCTCTTTTTTTAAAGAAATTAATGTTTATCGATTAAAGGTGATAAAAGTGATAAAAAATTAATAAAAACATTACAAAGTACGTCTTTTCAATAAAATATTACCAAAAAAAAAAAAAAAAACCTAAAATGATATATTTTACAAGCAAGAATAGAGATAAGGTTTCATTTGAAAACACTATGCAGTGCTTTGACTAATAATTTCATGGTATTTTTACTATTCTAAAAATAAATAAATTATTAATTAAAATAAATAATAAATATATTTGATAGATTTTTAAAATATTAAAAGACTAAAACCTATAACAACAAACGACGACACATTGCTCTTAAACAAAGCCTAGTCTTTCCCCACAGTACCTCACTAAAAGGATGTGTTTTTTCAATGTTTTTCCATTAACCCTTTTACAAGTCTGACTTTCAAACATTTTTTTTCTTTTTTAAACTGTTTGAGAAAAGTACCTGACTAAAATAGGCAAATATGATCCATGGATGGGGTGGATTTGTAATGTAAACCCTAGTTGGCAATGCGAAGGCAGGCTAAAATTATATAAATTACCCCTCCTAGAAACCAAATGGGGGTAGCCAGACCTCCCAACTAACAGGGCCGTGGGGAAACACCAAAACCTCCAATGTGGGATTACTTCCCCCCTACAACACATACAAGGCGCCAGTAGTCAGCTCCTAAATAATTTTTAGAAGTAAAGAGTATACAATACCATGCAACTTAGTTACCTTGCAGTCAAAATGGGTGTGCGTGCACACACAACTTAATTAACTTGGGAGTCAAAACATGCACCTGCACCCACACACACACACACACACACACACACAAAATTTTCTTGGGCATAATCAATCTAATGTGAGCAGCCCCTAACAATTAATACAAACTACTTGCACATTCCAATAACAAGAATTGCAGTTAGAAGTTCAGCAAATTATCTGGGATTCCACAGCAATTCTAACAAAAACAAAGGCTATTTTTGCAGCGCACCAATGTTTATATATAAAAAAATAAAGGAAAATAGACAATCTTTACAGTAAATTTCTGTATTTCTAACAAACAGAATGACCCCTCAAAGATAGCACCTGTCTCCAAAGAATGAGGTTATAGTGAGACAACCTTTCCCAGACTCTGTCGTTCTCCTTATACAAGTTAGACATGAGGAGCAACACTAACATTTTCCTGTCCCTCTAACAGAAATAGAAAAAGGATAGGCATAGCAATTACAAAATTGGAACTTTATCCTTGAGAAGAAATGGGGGAAAGTGAGGCCAGAGACACAAGTAAACTAGTGCATTGGAACAAGTGAGAAGGCAGCTAGGCCTATATGGCATCTCATATTTGTGGAACTATATAGCAATCATCTTCTTTGCAAAGTCATAAGAACGTAAGAATACAAGTCATCAGGTTGAATAGAAAGTCAGGGGCTGACCTGATGTGGCTGCTTTCTGATGTAATTATTTGGAAGACAGGAAGGAGTTAACGATGTGCTATAAAAGCTTATTAGCGCTAATATCTGCTGTAATATAAGACAAGATGGCATAAAAGATAACCACTCCTATCGTGAGGTATGCCAGTTTGGTTGATAACCCTTCATGCGAAAGGAAATTTTGCACAATTGGTGATTAAGGCTGGTAATACCACATCCACAGGATAGCAAAGAATGGTTCTTGCATTTCATATCAGTTTGAACGGCGGACCTCACCACCTTGTCTTGTGTTTCTGCTACTGCTTAAAGGAACTGAACTCTGACCTGAGAGTGGCAACTCCGAAAGTGGAGATCCAGTCTGTGAAAAGATCAAGCCTACTGAACTACTGGGTGTGGTTCCAGAAGAGGGGATTCTGCTCAAATAGGAATCCTTTTTGGATCCTGAAATCAGTTCAGGTTGCAGCTCAGATGAGGATGGAGCCAATGTAGCCAGCAAAGACCCAACTGCATAGGGAGCAACCGGCATGTCAATTAGAGATGAGGCTGAAAAATTGTATCTCATTGTTCCGAATGGATGATCAAATTTGCACGTAGACCCAAACTTGCAGTGCCCATTTTGCAAGTAGAAAGAACAAGGTTGCATATCCTGGTTACAAAATGCAAATCTAAATTTCAGAGTTCAAGTTTCTGGAAAAGCATGTCAAAATTCATTGAGGGGGAAAGAGTAGACAAATTGGTTCTCACTCCCCCCCCTTTTTTGCCATTAAGTAACAAAATTTATTAGTATTACTTCATAACAACACACATTAAGATGCAGATCATTCAAAATTAGAGGCCTACATAGGAGCAGAGCTAGAAATGAGTTTGACTTGGCTCATTTCTGGATCTCAGGATCTCAATTCAATATGGTTGAATTGAGCTCAAACTTGAGCATTTTGCATAACAATTCAAGCTTCAGCTCAGGCTCTACATAATTGTGCAAACTAGGCTCAAAAAAAAAAAAAAAGGGCTCAAATCAGGCTCAAGCTCAGGCTGCTAACAATTCGAGATTCACTTAGTTGCTTTATACCTCCACCCCTTAGCCTATCCAACTAAATTGCTTAGGAACTTATAACTAGATGTAGATGTACTCAATAAAATAATATGTGAGACATGGAATATTGATCTCTGCACTAGATTTAATAGAAAAAAAATTAAGATAAAAATAGACATATAGAAAACAACAAAGTGGAATTGATGATAAACACCTCCAGTACTGAGCTTGGAAAAATAAACCAAGTAAACTTACATACCGGGCGTAAAGGAAGTCCCAGTGGGCTGAGAGCACAGTTTGTTCTTGGCACTACCCTGTCTCGAGGATGGTGAAACTTACAAGAAGATCTGAATTTACAGTCACCAGTTCTCATATAGTACTGACATTCAGGTTCACCAGGTCTCTCTGGAAACGTTTGTTCCTTCTGGATACCATTTGAAAGGCCAGTCGAAGAGAGCAATGAGGGATAAGGACCTGGAAGGGAAGGTGTTGAAGATGATTGCTGCGTTAGACCATAGAGAGAAGTACCAACAGCAGGCTGTGCACCAGGAGATAGTACTGGGCTTACAGGTGCCTGCATCAAGGAAGCCAAAAATAGGTTCAGAAATGCAATTACTTTTGGCACTACTACATTGCAAATGTACTCATCATGCTACCGGATAGTGACTCCAACCAGGAATAGAAACCACTCCTGGGGAAATCAGCACAGGTCCATAAGCCCCTTGAACATATGAACCAGGTAACAGTGGAGGCCTTGCCACCCTCAAGCTAGTGGATGCTCCACCGTACTGTTCAGGTATAGGAACTGAAGGAGACTGCACCGGCTGATAAAACTGAGGCGCAGATGCTGGCACTGATGTGCCAGCTGGTTGAGGATGATGGAATTTACACGTAATACCAAATTTGCACTGCCCCGTTTTCAAATAGTAGGAGCATTCTTTCTCACTCTGTTAATGGACACACATCAAATCAGTATAATTAGATGAAATCCCACAGACATATAATATTGATTTTAAAAAATGAAGAACAGAGATCATCCAAACCGGTCGTAATGGGTGTCCATATATATTCAACATAACATGGCTCAAGGATCCACCTCCATGTTTTGGATGGTGAAACTTACAAGATGCACCAAATTTACAGGTCCCAGTTTTTAAATAAAACTGCATGTTAGGCAAGAATAAGCATAATTAAAACAAAAATAAAATAAAACTGCATTTTTTATTTGGCCATTAAAATACTACAGTGTTAACTATCCATAAATAGGTCTGCATTTTTTACCTGACAAGAAGGTTCCCCTGGTCGTTCTGGGTACTCCCCTGTGGCTCTTACAGCAGCCTCAACCTAAGTCACAGCCCAAAGAAATATGAGAGAGCTAAATCTCACATAATACATGACAGTGCTGTGTCAAAGATATACAATAAACAACTCAAAAGAGCTTCAAATTCAACTAACTATAAAGAACAATGTGAATCCTTTGCATAATTCTTTTCCACTAAAGAATCCTACATTACACGAAACATAACACCAGACATATCATAGAATCCCAGTGCTGTGGCAGGAAAAAAAGATAAAACCTAAAATTTAGGCTCTAATAAAGGTCATCCATATGAAGCAATGGCACAGTTTTCTGCTTGTTTAACTTGTCCAAACAATTAAAATGACATTCTTTTGCAAAACACATGCATGTGTGTTGCGAAACAGTCTTGAAGAAGCATGTCATTATGAGAAAGTTCATGAAGACGTCTAGACAGGGCTGCTTGAAAGGTAGATACCTATGAGTTTAGTACCAAAAATGCAATTACAAGCAGAGTTCAGCAATTATATATATGAACTGAGATACGTTCTGCACTCGTAGTATTTCAACCCTTCCATTTTTTACCATAATAAAGTTCATTCAATTCCTACATCAGATTATGACTTAAAAATAAAAATAGAATCCTACAAAGTGAGCTCAATTCTTACACATTAATCACCATCACTTCAGGAAATGAAATAAAAACAGCATTCCAATTGCTAAAACAGACACCTACCAATATTCAAGAAAACCCAAAAAAAAAAAAGTCAAAATGATCAAGTAATGTACCGCAGCGCGATCGCGAGGATGATTGTATCGGCACTTGCTACCATACCGACAGAACCCAGTTCGCATGTAGTACACACAGTCGGGCACTCCAGGCCGCTCGGGGTACGACTCCGCGCCCCTTAGTTGTAATTGCCACATAGATTCTACACAAAAAAGCACCCCAATCACACAAAAAACACTAAAACCCACTCCACATTACAAAACCCTAAAGCCCGAAACCCAAAAACATCCCCATTAACACCATCACCGCAACAACAGTACCAACCACCAACTCAAAAACCAAAATCAACTAACCTTCAAGCCCGGTGTCAGCTCCAACAGGACCCCATTCGGGTACTTGACCCGATTGCGATCCATGATTGCGTCCGTACCACTCCATCGAAACTGGTTCTCCCTTTTTTGGTTCGTGGAAGGAGGTGAGAAAGGTTTCCTATACAGTACCCCTACAGAGACTTTACAAAACAAAAACCGAAATAACCAAAATAACAACAACGATCGTCCTAGAGAGAATCTCCGGCGGTCCTATAATGGTTCCGACACTGATCGGAGATCTCGATCAAAATCTAGAATAGAATTCAGGAGGTAGAGGAGGAAGAAGAAGAAGAAGAAGAAGAGAGGTAAGATATGCTTTCACAGTAAGCTTTTTCTGTTTCTCTCTCTCAACATCGGTACGGTCTACTTTGGTGCATTGATATTTTTTTTCTGCCCTTTTTCTTTTTCAAAAATTTAATTTAAGTGACATCATTTAGTATTTTCTCGGAAATTTTTTCCTTTTTTATTTTTTTTATTTGCAGTTATTGTTTTTGTACCCGCCAAATAAACCCCCCCACCAAATGGTAATTTCGCGCAATTCTTTTATAAACAATAATGTTATTCAAACAATATTTATGTGTAATATGAGATATTTTGTGATTAATTATTTTTTATTTACTTATTATTTTTTAGTTTTTTTTAGCAACTTTAACTTAATTTTTTAATTTTTTAAATATGAATTTTAAATAATAATTTCATG